CAGGGAAGAGACGGTGGGCATGGTGGGGTGGGGGGTGCTGCTTGGGGTGGGGGTGAAAGAGAGGAGGCAAAAAAGGGGCTTGTGGAAGCAGGAGGAGGTGAACTGAGAAATGAAGCTACTGGGGAATACTAGAAGGACTGGGCAGGAAGAAACCATTTGGGTGGGGTGGGGGGCAACAGGGAGATGAAGGCAGGAGCTAGGGGGATAGGAATAGAAGATCCAGGGATGAGGAGGGGGGAAGGCTGGCACTGATGACCTGACTGGTGGGGGGAGGGGGAGGGGCAAGACTTTATCAAGGAAGGAAGCAGAGTTTGTGGCACGGAAACGGAGCCCCAGCTCCCCCTTATCCTCCCCTGACCCTTAATCCTGGGCCCTCTAGCATCTCAGCCTTGGTCCCTTCTCCCCCTGCCCCAGGGCACCTCTCCATCATCTGTGCTTATCAACTCTGCTCTGTTCTAAAAAAAACCCCTGCATTTGGGCTCCCTCAATTAAGTCCTTCTAGCAAGGGACCTGTTGGAGTGGACAGACATTGAGAAGGTGGGGGTCTCCCTTCTGGCAGCTAGCAGCACATCCTTGGTCAGGTTCATCTCTGCTCACCCCCCTTCCCTACTCTCCATTATTTTCAGGAGGGGTCTGCTCCCTCCATTGCCTTCCCAGGGACTTACCCCTCCTTATTCAGCTCCCCTCGGGGAAAGTCCTCAGGACAGGGAGGGAGAGCTGGGCTGGTGCACAGGCTGTCTGTTTGCACACCAAAGGAGCCAGGGCCCTGGATGGGGGTATTAAATGGGAGTGGGAAGCAAGATCCAGGCATTCAGATGCCCAAGCGGAGTTTCCACCCTTGGTGTTTTAAGAACCTGCATTGTCATCAGCCTCTTTGTAGGGATCCCTTGGAGATATGGAGGTACAATGACCTTGGGTCCTAGGATCTCTGGCCTTGACATTTACTGGAGAAACCCTGGACCTCAGCTAACTCGGCATCCTGTCCTCTGTCTCACTGTCTTCCAGTGGCCCCTCTAAAGCATTGCTGAGAGCCCGAGCACCCCTCCCCTTTGTCTCCTTGGCTAAATGTCAAGCCTCTGAAGAAGGGCAGGCCTCACAGGGGTGCTGTGCACATGGAGACTGAGCCCAACGGGCCGAAGCAGATGAGGGAGAACCAGACAGGGCTGGAGCTGGAGAGTGAAACAGATTCACAGGACAGATTTATTTAGAATCAAAATCGTGAAACTGGAAGAGACTTTAGGAATCATTTTTAAGTTCAATCCCTAAGATGTTATCTTATTCCTTTAGTATTCATTTTTTATCTGATAATAAAAATAAAATATATAGAGTCCCTACATTTTAATATGAAAAAAGAGGCCCAGAGAGCTGGAGTAACTTCATCCAGGCCATACAGGTTATAAGCCATGGGCTAGAACTCCTTCCCCCTAGACTACAGACTCAGGCAGGGGGATGAAAACAGCCAAGGAGCATGAGTCTGAGCAGCATTGCCTGGAAATATTTCCTTAAAGGGGGGGCTCGTCTTCCCAGGGGTCAGTGAAGGGCTCATCTCAAAGGTGAAATTGTGATTCCCCTCCAGAAGGCTGTGTTTCTGCATAGGCTAAAACCTTGGTCGAGGCCCTCCAGTTCTTGGTTTAGACCTTCAGTTCTGACATTAAAGAGCCGTCAGAAATAACTGCTTATCTGGACAGGGCCTTGTTCTCTGAGACAGACAAGGAGCCTGGCTTCAGGGGCTTCTCATTTAGGGAGTCTAACACAGCCAGCACCGGCCCAGAGGAGCATGCAGATGTGGTGGGGACGCCACTCTCCTTCTGCAGAGCCCGCCTCTTCATCAAGTCTTTCTGGGTTCACCACACCACCCCTCTCGGCCTCCACCTTAGTGCGACAAAACCTCCCTCTCTTCTCCCTGAATGTCTCCAGCTTTTTAAAAAATATTTTATTTATTTAAAAAATATTTTATTTATTTTGAGAGGGGAAGGGAGAAAGAGAGAGGGAGAGAAACATCTATGTACAGGAAGACCATTGATCAGGTTGCCTCTCCCACGCCCCCAGCTGGGGGCCTGGCCTGACACTCAGGCATGAGCCCTGACCGGAATTGAACCTGTGACCTTCTGGTTTGCGGGAGAATGCCCAACCCACTGGGCCACACTGTCAGGGCTCCAGCTTTTTTTAATAACAGAAATGCTATCCCTCTTTAGGGATTTGTTTTGATTATGTTGTCTGCTTTTCCTTTAAAATTCCACCCATATCCATCCTGCATCCTTGGACTGGGGACTCGGAGCCCGGCCCTTAACCAAGCTGTTCTGTAGCAGCTGCTGCTGGGGGAAGAGCTTAGAAAGACTGACCGATGTTAGGAGCATTAGGCATCAGGTGCCTTCCAACCAGTCCCAAAGTGCTTCTTGGAGGAGGTGGAATTTCAAGAGCTGGACAGAAGGCAAAGTAGTGAGGTTTATTTTTGGGGGGAGGGGGTTGGGTTCAGGGGTAGGAGTTAGAGATTCAAGAGGGATAACCTCACTAGGAGTGTGGAGCATGGGTGAGCCAGAGTGGGTCTGAGGCAGGGAAAGGCAGAGAATGAGAAAGGGAAGGCGACCTTTTAAGGTACCTGTTCCAGGGAGCCTGAAGCAGAGGAGGAAATTCTTTTTTTTTTTAAAGATTTTATTTATTTATTTATTTAGAGGGGAAGGGATGGAGAAAGAAAGGGAAAGAAACATCATTGTGTGGTTGCCTCTCACGTGGCCCCCATGGGGGACCTGGCCCAAAACACAGGCATGTGCTGTGACTGAAAATCAAACTGGTGACCCTTTGGTTCTCAGCCTGTGCTCAATCCACTGAGCCACACCAGCCAGGGCAGAGGAAGAAATTCTTGAATCTGACCCGGAGGACAACAGGAGGTCGAGCTGGGCCTGGAGGGGGCAGGTACCATGGTGGTGACATCTGTGGCTGCTGCATAGAAGATCTTGCCCTAAACGACACCAGCAATAGGCCTTATGTCAAGGAAGGACTCCAGGGAGCAGAGCTGGGAGGACCCACGTGCCATTCAGATCCACGTGCCTGGGGTTTCTGCCAGTGCAACACAGTCTCCGTGGGGCCTGTCCTTAACTACCCAGGAACCACCTATTTCTTGAGTGTCAGATAAAGGCTGACTCAGAAGGCCTTGTAGGAAAGAGTGGGACCAATTCTACAGGCTGAAAAGAGAGAGTGGGGAGGTTGAGCAGGTCAGCTTGGGCTTTGAGAAATTAAATATCAGATCTAAGGGAGCATGAGAGGCCCTGCTGAGAAAATGCACGTGGGCACCAAGTCAGGGAAGGGCTCAAGTCTGCATGTGTACACTGACCAAAAAAAAAAAAAAAAGGAAAGGAATCAAGAAGAAGCAGACCACAGGCCTCCAGGTAGGTGTGAGTAAACAGGGACTGTGGGGCAGCCGAGCAAAGCTGGTGGCAGGAGCTGCACCTAAGGGGGTTCTGGAACAGCCTATTCAGAAGGAACCATGTGCTCCTGTGCACACCTACCAACCAGGACGGCAATGGACTCTTGGAGCTGCGTTGGTGGTCTATGAGGAGCATGGAGGTGACTCCAGGGACAATTCTGAAGATTTTGCTGAATCCACAGGCAGGGATGTCTCTGGCCATCATATCCCCCTTCAAGGCCCACTTAAGAAGCTGAGGACTCCTGTGCTGGGGAGCCAGATAGCAGGCCTGGAGGAGGGCGGACACTGGTCCACAAGGCAGATAGAGCCCAGACCAGCTGGGCTCAGAACCTGCAGATAAGCGCTGGGGAGTCTCAAGTACAGGACCAAGGCTATGTGGGCATTGAGGAGAGAACAGACAGACAGACAGACATAGTGAAAATGTGTAGTACTCAGCCTACTAGTGAGCAGCTGGGAGTGGGGACAGCTGGGCCATTATGGCAAGAAGCATTTAACAATGAAAACCCGGCTCAACTTGGGCCTGGGGCAGGGCTGGAAGTTGTGCCAGGCCTTCTGGGCCTCCCTCCGCTCAGGAGGCCCTGCGTGCTGCCTCAGCCGGGGGAGACCAACCCACCCAATTTCCAGCGCTCCCCCAGGGATCAACCATCACCCACCCAAGTGTGGGATCAGGGCGTGTTGGTTGGGGTGAAGAGGCGCCACCCAGGGACCAGAACCCCAGGCCAGAACTCCCCACAGAACTCAACTGTAGAGAACCAGGCCAGAAAACGCGGCCTCAGGGATATATATGAGTGTCTTGCGGTCCCCTGAGCAAGGGTCCCCAAGGAGGTGGATTGTGATCTGCAGGAAAACCCGGGCCCCGCCAGCACCCCATCACAGGCAGAGCGAAAATGCGCCTGCTGCAGCCCTCGTGGCGGCCTCGTGGGGAGGGAAGGGAGGGGAGAAGCGCTGAGAGGGAGTAGGTCAGGCAGCCTGATTGCAGGAGCCAGTGCAGTGCGACCCAGCTGAAGCCAAGGAGCCCTGACGAGGGCGCGCACTGCCTATGCGGCCCCCCAACACAGAATCAAAAGGGGAGAAAGGATGCTCCCACGGCTTCTCTTCTACCTCGATCCAGTGCATCAAAACAAGCTGACCCAGGGCCCTAGGACCTGCATGGGGAAGTGGGAGCAGCCGCCCCTCCTCCCCAGCCCAGACCCCACGGGGGTCCAGGAACCACAGTCACTTCCTCCTCCTTTTCCCCTTGCCGGTGTAGGGAAAGGACCGACGACAGAGGGTGAGGTGGGCGGGACTTGGGTTTGGCATGCGAGTTTCTATTGGTCAGAGGAGCTGCCGCTTAGGAGGGCAGCTCGGGCGGGGATTGGCTCCGCGGGGCGGGGCGCGGCGCGACTAGAGAAGAGGCCCAAGGGGTGGGGCTGACGCTGCAGCTGGCGCAGCTCGGAGTCGGAGCAGCCGCCGCGGAGCAGCCGAGCAGCCAGCTTCCCCCGCCCGTCCCCGCGCCCGGGCCGGGGCTAGGCCCCCCACTGCCGGGTCCCCGGGGGCTGCAGCAGCGGCGGCGGCGGCGGCAGCAGCGGCGCCGCCCGCGGTTCCCGCCGGGGCCCGGGCGCCGGCCGCTCTCTGCAGGATGGGCACGGTGCTGTCTCTCTCCCCCGCCTCTTCGGCCAAGGGCCGGAGGCCCGGCGGGCTGCCCGAGGAGAAGAAGAAGGCGCCGCCCGCGGGGGACGAGGCGCTAGGGGGCTACGGGGCGCCGCCGGTAGGCAAGGGCGGCAAAGGCGAGAGCCGGCTCAAACGGCCATCCGTGCTCATCTCCGCGCTCACCTGGAAGCGCCTGGTGGCAGCGTCTGCCAAGAAGAAGAAAGGCAGCAAGAAGGTGACGCCCAAGCCAGCGTCCACTGGCCCCGACCCCCTGGTCCAGCAACGCAACCGCGAGAACCTTCTCCGCAAGGGCCGGGATCCCCCCGACGGCGGCGGCGCCACCAAGCCCCTGGCCGTGCCCGTGCCCACAGTGCCCGCGGCCGCCGCCACCTGCGAGCCGCCGTCGGGGGGCAGCGCGGCCGCCCCGCCGCCAGGCTCGGGAGGGGGAAAGCCGCCGCCGCCGCCCCCAGCCCCGCAGGCGGCGCCGCCGGTGCCTGGCGGCTCGCCCCGGCGGGTCATCGTGCAGGCGTCCACCGGCGAGCTGCTGCGCTGCCTGGGCGACTTCGTGTGCCGACGCTGCTACCGCCTCAAGGAGCTGAGCCCGGGCGAGCTGGTGGGCTGGTTCCGCGGAGTGGACCGCTCGCTGCTGCTGCAGGGCTGGCAAGACCAGGCCTTCATCACGCCCGCCAACCTGGTGTTCGTGTACCTGCTGTGCCGCGAGTCGCTGCGCGGGGATGAGCTGGCGTCGGCCGCCGAGCTGCAGGCCGCCTTCCTCACCTGCCTCTACCTCGCCTACTCCTACATGGGCAACGAGATCTCCTACCCTCTGAAGCCCTTCCTCGTGGAGCCCGACAAGGAGCGCTTCTGGCAGCGCTGCCTGCGCCTCATCCAGCGGCTCAGCCCGCAGATGCTGCGACTCAACGCCGACCCCCACTTCTTCACGCAGGTCTTTCAAGACCTCAAGAATGAGGGTGAGGCCGCCGCCGGCGCGGGGGGTCCACCCAGTGCGGGCGCGCCCGCGGCCCCCGCCTCCTCCTCGGCCGCCAGGGACAGCTGCGCGACCGGAGCCAAGCACTGGACTATGAACCTGGACCGCTAGGGATACCCAAAGGCCAAGCCTGCCCCCGCCCCAGCCCCTGACACACGCTCGGAGCCCCCAGGACCATCAAGCTGCCGCCGCCGTCACTGCTGCTCCGCACTCCGGCGGGAGGAGGAGCCGCCCCTGCCCCGCAGGGGCAGGTGGAGGCCTGGAAGCCAGAGGCCGAGGCGCCTGGATTGACGGGGCGTCGGGTGGGAGTGGGGGATGCGCGCGGGAAGGGACCCCCTACCTCAGCCTTTCTGTCTACGCCCCCGTCTCTCCAGCTCTGCGCGGGTCTGCTCCTTCCCTTCTGGGCGTGTCTGTAAGTCCGTCTTCCTCGGTTTGGTCCATCTCCTCTCTTCCTCCCTGCATCTTCACCCTCCCACCCATCTGCCTCTCCCCTGGCCCTTCCTTGGGTGTGTGTGTGTCCGCCTCCGTCGGACCCCCTACCCATCTCCCTTTGGCCCCGTTTCTCTCTCCGCACCGGTGTCTCCGTCTCCCCGCTCCTTCTCCTTTCCTTCGCTTTTGGCCTGTGCCACCGCCTTCCTTCCCGTCCGCCCCCCCCGCCCCGCCTAGGTCAGCTTGCATCCCCTCCCCCGACTGTGCCCCCATACCCTCCTCCCCAGACCCAAAGAAACGCTGGTTCTGAACTCGGAACCACACGGGAGGGCCCTTCGCCCCACCCCCACCGCCCCCTCCGCCTTCCCAACGTGTTGCATGCCGGGAGGCGGGGCCGAGGGACGCCGACTTCGGGAGGCCGACCTTCGGGAGCGAACTCAAACCCAGGAGTCCACCCCGGCGGCGGCGGCGGCGGCGGCGGCGCCTCAGCGAACGGAGGAGGAGAGACAGAAACTCTCCTTTTTCAGGGGGAGGGGCGCCCTCTTTCTTATCGTTAGGTGTTTTCGGTTTCCTCCCCTTTTAATTTATTCGATTTATTCGGTGGTTTCCGGAGGGCGGGGGGCGGGAGGGTTGGGCCGGGAGCTGTCTGAGGTGCTGATCCTGAGGCCGGACCGGACTCCTCCGGGGAGGGCGCCGGGGGCTGGGTTGGGCCCGGTGCCGCATCCGAGGTGCCAATGATGCGGGCCGACGGCGCGGGCCGCACTGTCTGTCTGTCCGTCTGTCCGGGACATAACTATAAAGCGCTGGAAGCGCCTGTAGATGGTTTTGCGCCGGCTTTTCTTTGGGTCCCGGGAGGGCGGGAGCCGGGGCGGGAGCGGAGCCGTCCCAGGCGGCGCAGGAGGCCCGCAGGGGGCCCGAGGGGGAGGCCGAGGCCCCGAGAACCGTCGCTCTGTCGGTCTCGGTCGCCGCCGCCCCCACGCCCGCCTCCACCGTGTCTGACCCAGCGCCGTTAACGGCCGGCTCACTTTTGGGTTAAATGACGAGGAAGTCGCCCCCCTGCGTTTACAGGGCGGCCCATCGAGGCAGAACTGGCCAGTTATGGCCGCTTTCCTCTTCGTCCTCCGTCTCTCCCCGCCACGCATCCCGGCGAGAGTGCAGGCAGACCCGAGTCCGGCGGCCGCCCGGCGCAGGCCGCCCCCGCCCCTCCCCCGCTGCGCGGCCGCCGGCTGCCGCCTCGGGAGCCCCTCGGTCCCAGGGCGCCCGGGGCCCAGGCCGCCCGGGAGGTGGGAGCCGTTCTCCGGGGTCCGAAGAAGAGAAACAACCTCTTTAGCCCGAGGTCCCTGTGCGGCCTCCCTGCCTCCTCAGACACGTGGCTCAGCGCCCCGTGCGCGGCTTCCCGGGCCCGCGGAAGCTGGTCTCGAGCGGGGCGCCGAGTCTCCGGCCCTGGCCGCCGCGAGACGCCCGGAGTCCCGCACCACCAGCGAGGCCGGCGCCCGCTGTCCGTGGTGCTGACCGGCATGCGGGGGCGCGAGGGGCCGGTGGGGGCCGGGAAGGGCTAGAGGAGCCGCGGACTGGGCCTCCGGCCGGGTCCTCTGCAAAATTTGGAAGCGGGGCGTGATCTACTCGGGGGCGAGTTACAGGGTCTGGCCCGAGACCCCGGAACGCGGGCTTCCGCGTGCCCTCCCGGGAGACAGACCTCGGCTGAGCCCGGGCCGCCGCCCCGGCCGCCCCGGCCGCCCCGGCCGCGGCCCCCGCCCCCCCGGCCTGCGGCCGGAAACCCCGTCCAGATTTGTGAATCGGCTCCCGGGAGGGGCGGGGGGAGGGGGAGGGCCGGCGGGAGGGAGACGGGAGCGGCCGCCCATTGGCTGGGATTTGGCGCAGTCGGCGCGGTGCCGTCATCTCCCTCCGTTTGGACTGAGCGGGGGAGGAGCACCGGGGTCACCCCGCGGCTGTCGCCATAGTAACCAGACGGCGCGCGCGCTGCCGTGCCGCCTCTCCGCTCGCCCCTCTCCAGCTGGAAAAACAACCCAGGTCTGCCTGGTTGGGGACTAGTTAACGAGACGGCGTGATCGGCGTTAGCTGCGCTGGAAGAGCCTAAAGTGCGTGGGGCAGAGACGAGCGAGCCTGCGGACACCCCCGGCCGTCCTGCCCTCGGGGTGGGGGGCTGTAGACACTGCCCCGGCCCGCGGACGGAGCACGCCGTCTCTGTGCTGCACCCACACCTCCCACCCCCCGCCCCAGGAGCCGGTGGTCTGGCACTCGCACACCTGGAAGGAGAAAACTCCCCGTGCAGAGTCAAAGCTCACTTTCCTTGCCGCGCCCCAAGGCGGGACCCTCCGCCATGATCCGATTAGGGGTGAAGGGCTGGAAGGGGATTGGCTCGCAGACCCGGAGGGATTAGCCACCTGGGTCAAACTCGAGCAGACTCTCGCTTTGCAGGAGAGGAGGGGGCTGTACGGAGAAGGGCTCAGGACTGATTTCTGAGAAGGCAAAGTGAGGTGCAAGGAAGGTTTTTGGAAACAGAGCGCAGGGCCTCCTGTGCACCGCCCTGAAGTAACCCTCGGTAGAGCGAGTCCAGGCTCAGGAAGGAGGTGACGACGAGGACCCAGAGCTCTAGAGAGAGCCCAACAGGGGTGCGCGGTGGACTGAGGACGGAAGGGAGATGCAGAATGGGGGCCCGGAACCGGCTGGAGCCATGACTCAGCACTTTGGGGGGGGGGCGGGGAGTGACTCTCCCAGTACAGGGGCAAACAGGGATCCGACCACTTGCGTGATACATGCATTGACATACAACAAAAAGCACATTTTTAACCCAGAAGTAGGTACATACACATCCATACTGACGAAGATTCGTTCCATTGTAACATATACACATCTCCACCCCCTTTTTCCCCGCCCCTCTTCCTGGACCAGAGGACGTCCTGTCCTGAGAGCTATGATTGCCTGTCCCGGGGATACCTTGGTACTTAGTGGGTAGGGAGAAACAAAAAATTGTAGAGTTTGGGGGTGGGGGGATTGTCATGGTAACTGCGTTGCCTGCCAAGCTGGGTGCCCAGCAACCAGAGCATCTGGCAGTATCCACGGGGACATCCTGTGGCCTCTACCCACAGGGACTGTGCCTCGCGCATTCAGATGGGCATCTCCGGGAGATTTTTACAACAGGGGCAGTTTTGGCTAGGTATGGGCGCCTGACCTTCATGGGCCCTACTTTAAGTGGTACTGCTGACCCCTTTATACAGCATAAACGATATTTGCAGAGAGTGGCCTCAGGGGTTAACACTTTAAAGACTTTTATTAAGACCATAACCTTGCCTCTCAGCACCTTGCCGGACACCCTACAACAAAGTCATCTATCTATACCTACCCAGGCTAGATATATAAATGAGGGGTAGGAAAATTGTTTTAGTTCACATGATGAGAGACTGGGTATAAAATAGATAGACCGCAAGGCAAAGTCTCAGGATTCAAGTTCCTTCGGTCTGAGTTTAAGGTGGGGATGGGGTTTTCAGGGGCAGTCTCTCTGCTGGACCTGCGGACCAGCTGGCTGATTTTTCACTCCAGGCGCCCCTGTCCTTTCTCAGGATTCAGGTTTAACCTCTTAGTTTCTGACTTAAAATGCCCCCAATCCAGTTTGGGCTTTCAATATCTTCTTCCCCCTGGATTTTCCCCACGATTTCTTCAGCAATGACCTGCTCTCAAATTCTCTTTCTAATTGGAGACATTGCCCACAGTTGCTCCTTCCTTCTCTTAAGACTCTGCCCCTCTCATTTCTATATATCCCTTGGTCATAGTCTCCTGTGATTAATATTTAGCTTAAAGCCCATAAATCATAAAATTAGTCTCTCTGGGTCAGAAGGAAGGTGAGGTGATAAACAATATAAATAGGAAAAGAGGTATTTCTTTCTTTTTTTGGTAGTTTTTAAAAATTTATTTTTACCTGGCTGGCATAGCTCAGTGGATTGAGTGCGGGCTGCAAACCAAAGTGTCGCAGGTTCGATTCCCAGCCAGGGTACATGCCTGGGTTGCAGGCCATAACCCCCAGCAACCGCACATTGATGTTTCTCTCCCTATCTATCTATCTATCTATCTATCTATCTATTTCCCTCCCTTCCCTCTAAAAATAAATACAAATTTTTTAAAAAAAAATTATTTTTAGAGAGAAGGGAAAGAAGAAAGAGAGACATCAATGTGTGGTTGCCCATGTGCGCCCCCTACTGGGGACCTGGCCCAAAACCCAGGCATGTGCCTGACTGGGAACTGAACTGGTCATCCTTTGGTTTGCAGGCCAGCGCTCAATCCACTGAGCCACACCAGCCAGGGCTGAAAAGAGGTATTTCTTAACAATCTTTTACCATTCTACTCCTTTTAAAAAATCATTTCTATGTTATCCCAGAAAAAAAAACAAACAGAATATCAAGAAAAGCCTAAGAAAGAAGTGTGTTGATGGAGGGCTTGTCCTATCAGATATTAAAATGAGCTATAGAGCTAAGTAGCTAAAATATATGGCACTGGTACAGGAGTAGACATACCCATGAAACAAAATAGATAACCCAAAGCTAATCTTCAGCAATCATGGGAATTTAATATATGATAAAGGCACCACTTCAAATCTATTGGGAAAAGATGGATTAGTTAGTTAATGGTTTTGCTCCAACTGGGTAGTCTAGTCATTTATATTAAGGAAAAGGTCAATTCTTCCTCATCCTTTACCCCAAGATAGATTTCAAATTGATTTTAAAAATTAAATAAAGAGCTATAAAAGCCTTAGAAGAAGGGACAATTTCAACATATCTATTAAAATTTTGAAAACACACATACATGTTTACTCAGGAATTCCAACATGCGCACAAGGAGATATGACAAATATTTTGTAAATTGTATTATTGTTTGGAGAGAGATAAATTGGAATCAACCTAAATATCCAGTGGTAGGTTAGGGGTTAAATAAATGTTGATACATCCAAATCACTGAATACTGCAGTCAGCATTCCGTTAAAAAGAGTGAATTGGACTGCATGTACGGACCTGAAAGATCTCCAAAACACATTGTATTATTAATAGTTGCGTAACAGTACATACAGTACAACATCATTTCTGCAAAAGCAAAACAAATCAAACCAAACTATAATTTCTCTTTGTGTACATGAGTGTATGCTTAATAGAAGCTTTAGAAAGATATATATCACTCTTAATAAGTGACTTCTGGGAATGAACTG